AAAAAAAAAAACTAACAAAAAAAGAATAACTACAACTTTTTTTGGAGTAAATACCTTGAACTGTGCTGCATTGTCCCTGCTTCCCGTCAAACCCCAACAACATAGTGACTTTGAATTACTTTGTTGGCAACAAAATTGTCCCTTTAAAATCAAAATCATGTAAAACTGGCTGAGAAGCCCTGACTTTACAGGTCAGAACTTCAGCTTGTAGTATTGAGAATAATTTGCCTCCAAAAGAGTCAACAAGCAATGGTGATTTAATCTAGATAAAATGAGTATGGGAAGATGGTGAAGGTTATTAAAATGATGAATTGATGATGATGAGGAGGAAATGATGGTTGTTTGGAGGTCAGGACATGTTTAATATTACTGATAATAAAATATAAATATATTTTTGTAGTAATTGTACTGAGAAGCACACTGATGGTAAACATACTGAAGGTGTGTGTGTGTGTGTGTGTGTGTGTGTGTGTGAGAGAGAGAGAGAGAGAGCGAGAGAGAGCGAGCGAGAGAGAGAGAGAGGAGAGAGTTTATGTATCCCTGGTTGTTAAAAATGGAAGGTCAGAAAGTTGTAGTACAACAGCCAACAACATGTTCCTTGCCACAGAATCATTCATTAAGTCATTAAGTATTAAATTAATACTACTAGTTTAATATTAAATATACTTCAACCCTATCTCTTATTTACATTTATATAGAGCTCTATATTTGTTTTTCCAAATATGTTTTGAGGGAATCAGTGCCTGAATTTTATTTAATGGCAACAAGTGTAGGAAATGTTATTGTACCACACAGATGTTGTAGGGATGGAAGGTAGCCATAAAGAGCACTGGACTTTGTTTAGGCAAGTTTAGGCTACACAGACACTGTGGTTGATGCAGGGCAAAAATTGTGGTTTTGGTGAAATGTTAAATGCAATTTCTAGGAGATGACTTCACCCAGCGGGATTGCTGGTGTTTTCAGCGACCATGGCTGATTAGGTGGAGCTATGCAGGTAGTTACATAATGTCATCAAATTCTATGGTCTGATAAGAATGATGGTGTGAGTTGTCTTGTCTAAATGGGTGCAACAAATTTAAGAGGAGAGGCAGGGACCTGTCAATCAAAAACACTCCAGAGAAGATGTCTGGTCTGGCAGAGTCAGAGAAAGCACCTGTGAGTAGGGGCTTTAAATCCAGTTTGAAATTGACACAGCAGTAAATACATGTGGGCCATAAAATATCTGTACTCCCATAGTGTGTGTGTGTGTTCGATACTGTATTTTATCAGTCTGTCCATGGAAAAATGTCTTGTGATATCAGTGACAAACAGTGTTGTTATTTGTTCTCCCTCCTCATTCAGATTTTCCTTCCAGTCCGGGCAGTTTTGTAGCCTACAATCTTCTTGTAGGATCAGAAGATGTTCATATGTTTCAGAATGTTTATATAACACTTACAGAATATCAGCTCTTGTGTGCAGTACTTGTCTCCCATGTAATCATCTTATGAGCCATAATTCCTTTGCAAAAACAAATCTTATTTCTATTCTCTTCATATTAAAAATATTAGTGTGGGAGCTCATAAACATTACAGCAAACAGATAGAAATAGAGAGACTAAGGTGAACATCATCATCATGAGGAGTGGAAAGAGGGAACAAAATATTAATACACTCCATGAGGTGGTTGGCAACAGGCAGGAGAACCAGGTAAAAAAGGGAGCCAGCTTTGGAGATGCCACTCTTAGTGGCCTAAGGAAGAAGTTGGGCACAGGAGTGTGGTAAAGGACAGAGAGGTGCCAGGATGGAGATCAATGGCACAGTCATAAGGGCAGTGAGGTGACAAACAGGTGGCTTGGGCTTTGTTAAACATCTCCTTGGTGTTCCCCCTTAAAATATTCTAGGGGAGCATTTGATAGATCAGGGAATTCCAAGACTTAGAGATAATAGGCATCATATAAGCATGTTGGTTCCATTTACTTTCGGCTGCTACTGTCCTTGTCTGCCTGCCTGTCAGCAGCCTCCCTCCCAGGGACAGTGGCGAAACACCTCCCTCAGTTCAGATGTGAACAACTTGACTGAAAGACATATGGTTCACGTTGAAAAATGGTCAGCATTAATGCATGATTTGTGGTTAATGGCCAAAAAAAGATCCATTTACACTACTTTCAGTAACATCTCTTGGCTCTCATCAGCAGAAGGCCAGCCACATGTTAACATGTACATTTTACTTGTACTTGTCATATAATAACAATTGAAAACTGAATCATCTCCATGACAACAAACTCCAAAGCATTGACTGAAAAAAGATAGATAGATAGATAGATAGATACTTTATTTATCCTCCAGGGGAAATGCATGAGGCAGGGGTAGATCACAACATGAACAACATGTGGACTATATAAGATGATCATCCTGTAACAAATGCTACCTTTGTGAATCTTTGTTTTTTTGTTGAGACTGACACAGGTGTTTCAAGTTTATCTTAATACACTGCATCTTTATGCACCCCCAGTGATGTATTTATTGATGCCATAGGTGTCTTGAGGATTAATTAGTAGTATATACTGCAACTTCATTATCTGTTCACATGACTCCTAAACATTACATTTATATACCACTAACTTGCAAAAACGTTTTGAAAGTTTTTTTTGTCTTTTCTTTTAGATATACATAATAAGGATGTTTTTACTCAACAAAGTCTGCAAAGATGGCATGGTAGTGCAGTGGTTAGCACTGTCGCCTCACAGCAAGAAGGTTCCGGGTTCGAGTCCCGGCTCGGACACGGGGTCTTTCTGTGTAGAGTTTGCATGTTCTCCCCATGCCTGTGTGGGTTCTCTCCGGGTACTCCGGCTTCCTCCCACAGTCCAAAGACATGCAAATGGGGACTAGGCTGATTGATGGACTGGCGACCTGTCCAGGGGTGTACCCCGCCTCTTGCCCGAAAGGATGCTGGGATAGGCTCCAGCCACCCCGCGACCCTACTAGAGGATAAGCGGTAGAAAATGAAATGAATGAAAATGAAGTCTGCAAAGATGCAAAGTCTTTATACTGAATTTATCAACACAATGTTTACTGACAGCAGATTTCATTTGTTTTCTTGCATATACACTTGTGACAACTGAGGCATGATTTATGCTTTCATGGAAATACTGCAACAAATCATTTTGGTGAAGATTAGGGAAAGATAACTGTCTCAGTCAAATACCGAAAAACTCAAACTACTGCACTTTGTACACCCACCATCCATCCCAACCATGTGTGTGGTACAAGAATTTAGGCAAGGCTGGATTAACAAACAGGTAAAGCAACCGACTGTCCCGAGGCCCCAGAATTCCAAGAGCCTTGTAAGATCCAGTCTTACTGTGTGCCATCTAATTTAACTGTCAACATGTCATGTGCACCACTAAAGTACAATATCAGCTGAGTTCACGGACCTTAAAATGCTGCTTTATTTATTTTTCTATTCTTAAGGCCCTGTCATGAAAAGTGTCCTGTCAGATTCTACTGTCAACACTCTCATTACCTCAGTATTGTGGTTATATGTTGCATATTCTTGATCAATTTGTTTTAAATACATTACCATGCAGCAAGCCAAGGACAGCAGTAAAGAGACATACACCGACTGAAACAATAATTTAGGCCAGGACTTTGACTCCAAAGCAGGCCGCCCTCATGCAGACCATCAGACCATCATTTTGTAGACTGGTCACAAGTCAATATTTTTCCAACCACTTGTCAACAATGGATTATTATTACTGATTGCAATTATCAAAGGATATATGTGGCTGGCAGGAGCAGCGCTGCTGCAGAAACGGTGTGGACAAAGTAATAGCCATCACACACAGGTGAGGTGATACAAGAGGTCCGTCAACTCATTCCTGCTTGTTATGTTATCACAGATGATGTTCATGATGCAGGCCAAAACACCCTCAGGCGACCAGGAAGTGTCCCAGTGCTCCCAATGGGCTGTCCACCACTGACAGGGAGTGGAAGGAATTGGGGAGTAGTAACGGCGCTATAGTTTATGTTTGCCACCCTAAAGGATTATTCCAGCCATATGGACAGGTTTTGAACATGTGCAGGTGAAGTGTTCTGGAGCTGTATATATTACTCAGTGACCTAATTTGTCATCAGGACCTGCAGAGGTCACAGCAGCCCAGAGAAAAGCACAAACATGCAAACATAAAATAAAGCTGATTACAGCTTAAGCAAAATGTTGAACAACCTGTGGTAGAAATACAAGTGATTTAGTTCTGAAAAATTTTGTGTATTGTTGTGACGTGTGTCGGACTTCAAGGTGTAACTGAGTACACGTACATATCTACAGTACTGTCATTCACTGACTGAACTCATTCCCATTACAAACATCATCTCTGTGGCCAGACCCATTCTCTGGGAGACTTGGCGTTACCTTTTGTTGTAATTGTACGCGAGCTCGCGCCCAGCTGATGTTGCACCATCTGGACCCTTGTCAAGCGCGTGACAACAAAAATATCCCTGCCGCCCGTAACTTTCGAAATAAAAGTTTTACTTACGCATAACTTTTTGGCCAGAAATGCTTGTAATTGCTATTCTTAAATTGTGCAAATACACAGTTGTTAGGTCTCAACCTTAGTTACTCAAATCAGCTTATTAGCCCGCTGTAAGATATACATGTAGGCTACTCCACAATAGAATAGAATAGAATCCAAAGGTCCGCCAATATTGAACAGCGTAATAATTCATACTTTTTGGTTTATCTGGGTTTTAAAAATGATCATTTTAATTTTGAGAAAATGTCTGTTTGATATGTGCTTGAATTATTTTGATCCAAAAGCAAACTGTTCTACGCCTTTACTTTGAAGTTCAACCTGCCACATTTCCGGTAGCATCGTGTCTAAAAATGGGCGCAGCTCGCAGCGGGGCTGTTTTAGAGATAGGGAGAGGAGGGCCGTCCGGTCTCTGGTCTGCAGTGAAGCCGCTACCAACGCCAGGACTTGAGAGGAAAGACAAGTGTGCATGATGCGGACAGCAGAGCAGCTTTAAACCATTTCTTCTGTCGGTTGACACACACAGACGTAGAGAACCCAATGAATGGAGTTGCTTTTTGCCTTGTTGGAATTCCACCTCAATCAGACACTGAAGTAAGTCCAAAGTGAACATGCTGAAGTGTTTTTCGTCTTCTCTGTCATGACTCAAAGTACGTTTCATTAATGTGTGTTTTTGTACGACCTCACTTCTGCGTTTCCTCTTGTAAACTGCACTTTGTACTCGGTTGCCACTCTAGTTAGAAGCGTAACTTGGAGACGTGACCTGTGATTCAATCCAAATGTATTCTGTGTAAGCCTGTGATAAACATGTTAGGTGATGTAGCATATGACAGTTTCCATAATGCCTTTTACAAAACCATTTACTGTACATTAGTAGGACTATAATTGACTGTAATTTTGCTTCAACCGTCTTACCTGTATTTGCGACTTGGTCACAGGGAAGTGTCAGCAGTGTGTCAGTAACCTAACTGCAGGCATAGCTGCATGACTTGTCTCCTCCAGAAACACACTCAACGTGTATTGGGCCTGTGTTTTTGGAGATGATCTCATGCACTTGTCCTGTTTTAGCAGCGTCAGGAATTCTGGCACAACTTCACGCAGGCTAAAACCAAGGTGCATGAAGAAGGGAAACAGTCTGAAGAGACAAAAACTCCACACTTGTAGAGTTTTCCATGTCTTATGCAATTTTTCAAACTCCCCAACTTGAATCAAAAGTGCAAGGTGTAGTCTCCTCTACCCCATAATATTAATCCATCAAGTGATAAGGCAGGCCAGTGCTACATGCAACCGCAACATTAAACAAAATCACAGCCCTTTTTTCACCAGCACATCACATGCCGCATTCTGCAAATAACTGAATAATTTCTCCATGATTTTCTCCATGAGTTACAGAGATGGGATATGGGTGGGTGAGCAGAGAGACAATAAAAAATTGGGCTGGAATGCATGCATTTCCATATGGCAGCCCACATACGCACAGACAGAAGGTACATTGTAGCCATTAGTCTTCTCTCAGTGCAGAAAATTGCACAATCACGACCAGCATGGAGGTAGAACTCAACAATTCATACTAATGACATTGTTACTAATCTTGATTCAGACATTTTTTCTTGTCTTTGATCACTCCCATCACACATCACATTGTTTGTTGCTCCAAGCATATGAGTTATACTCTCAGATCACAACTTATTACTGTGGGGATGTGTCATGGCCCAGTTAGCATCAGGATCATGGGTCATACACCACGCCCTCAGTGGTGGAATTTTAAAGTCAAATTTTGATCTGTGACATTTCCATATAGTCCTGAACAGAGAAAATTAGTTGATAGATATATTTTTGAAATTCAGACAGTGTCAGGCTAGCTGTTTCTCCCTGCTTCCTCTCTATGCTAAGCTAGGCTAAACATGTCCTTACTCAACAGACATGAGCTTCTCATCCACGTATAAGAAACATGAAAAAGTATGAGCACAAATATGGAGCTAGCTGAACTGACAAATCAGTGGAGTTGAACTTACATTTACAGTAACTTAAACTTCACTGAGAGAAAATCTAAGACAAAAGACTCCATACAGTTGAGAGGTGATGTTGGAGAAGTGTAGGCTGTAGCCTCTTTTTGCCTGTGTCCAGCTTAGCCTGGAAGGGAACGCACCTTACCCTAAACTTAAACCCTGTGGACTTGCATGAGGATACTTTACATACTATAATCGGCATACACAGACCTGTTTCACACATTCACACTAGAAAACATGACGGTGACCTCCTCACAGCAAAAAGAAGAGCTTCTTTGTTTGTTGTGTTTGGCTAAACAACATGACAGTGCCAGTGCTTAACAAGAACAGGACTAATGATTTGTACCTACATACAGTGAAAGAAACAAATGTTCCAGTTTATTTTTCTGGTGCATGCACAGTTTGCGTGTTTGTAGTGTGGAAGGTCTGCGTGGTTTCAAATTTTGGCTCCGCACAGACCCTCATGGACTTGGGCAGATGATGAAATTTGTGTCACACAGTCATGTAGGAAGTGTTGTGAAATGTTCCTAGATCCTATGTTGATAGATTGCTGTTGTGACTTTTGTGGAAGAGGGACTGGTTGTTTTTTAAACATGAAGAGAGCAGCTAGGAGAAATAATCTGTCAGTAATAATGCTTACTGACCTCATACTTACTTACAGGCATTTGTTTCAGATCTACAGTAATAACACAATAACTAAGCACTGAATCTCTACATTCCTGTTATTTATTTAAAAGATAACTAGTGTTTTATCAGAAACACAAATTGCATGTAAGTGCTGTGTAACCTTTGTAATATTATGTGGTAATAAATGTGAATGTGATAATGAAATTGTCTGGTTACACTGATGTAAAAATAAAGCACATTCAGTAGTGGTATGCAAATATGAGCAACTTCCTCATCACATTGTTCATAACTATTAGCTCTACTGTTCATGAATTCACATCTTTAGCATAGGTTTCCAACTTACCACTATTTCCAAACGTTTGGGTATCTATTCCCCCCACCCCCATCAGATTCTGTGTACTCAGTCGAGCAGGCTCCTCTTGCCTTATATGTATTGTACCAGGCTCCAGATTTTGCCCTCAGCTCAGTCAGTACAGGGCAATGAGTTTCACTTCATGTGATCACATGAGCTAAACAGTGGCATTTCTCTCTCTGTCAGCAGGTAGAAAGCTGAGCTCAGGAAAGGCATGTTTGGTCTATAAAGACTTGTAAGGCATCACAGAGTGATAAATCCTGAGATGCTCCAGGACTATTTCTTTGCCTTCACATTTCTTTCCTTAGATCTTTGTCAGGTGTTCTCATCATGTAGCAATAATGCCTGTACAGATTGATCCTTGCAGAAAATGCCAGTGACCCCTACAGAGGAGGTTATTAGCTCATGGTAATCTACCCAACAGCAACCATGGAGACAGTGAAGATGTAGTGAGCATCTGCACCAAAGCTCATAATACGTGGAAGCTGATTAGCCCTATAATACTCTTAAAATGCTCTCACATGATTTATACTAGTGCTAATGGAAAGGTGAAGATGAGATGATTCCGTTTGCTGGAAATAACTGTTACATTATAACTGTGAGTGCTAATGCAGTTGGCTGATGATGCTGGTGATTGCTAGGTTAAGTCACATACTGGGATATAAAAGTATAATGGACATGGACATACTGGAAAAATATTATGTACTGTATGTTTGAAGGTCAGACAACATGGCTGCCATAGTAGCAAAACTAGACCTCTTTTGCACAAATATTTGCACAATTTACTGATACAGTATAGTCCACAGTATAGTATAGTTTTCTCATGTATGTGTTGTATATAGCTTTCTAATCTCTTATTTTATTTTTTCTTTATTTTATATAATTAGTACTTAATAATTATTACTCTGCGCTGCTTTAACACAAATAAAGCCTTATTTCATCTTATCTCTATGTTAGCATTCACACATTTTACTGTTAGAGCTGTAGCTTTGGGTGCATGTGTAACACTGAACAACTTGTCAGCATGATTAGATGAGCTTGTCCCTCTCTCTCTCCTGCAAATACAGCAGTGAAATACAGAGTGAGCTTGTTTTTTGAGTTCTGATTAAATTTGTGGTATCTTATCCTGGCCTCAGGTGTAGTGGACTGACACCACCAGCATTGCATTTTTGTTGGGTTACACATGATGAAGGTGCTCTAGGTTATTTTTATTCCTGGTCATTCTGGCTGGTAGAAATCCCAGGCTGTTATAGAATCACATGCATACATCACATCTCATTCTAAATACAGGCTCCAGTTTCTAATGTCCAGTGAGCTTAGCAACTAAAGTGAAAGCAATTAATGGCCTTTTAACTCTAGTGTTCACTATCCTTGGATCTCTGGTTGTTTCTCTCTACATCCCATGAACTAAATTAACTATCTTGACCCCATGACAAATGCTGTAAAATACTGTGTCAATCATACTTTGAAAAAAAAAGTTGTATGTAGAGTTGAAATTATTGGTTTATAATCAGTTAATGACCAGAAAATTAACCAACAACTATTTTGATTAATTTATATGTCATTTGTCAGCAAAAATGCCAAACATTCTCTGGTTCCATCTTCTCCAAGGAGAGCATATTTACAGTATCTCTGTAAACTGCATAGATTTGTGTTTTAGACGGTTGGTCAGACAAAATATAACATGTTGATAACATCGCCTAGGACTCTGGGAAAATGAGATGGATTTTTCTAAATTTTCGAACAAACAAAATGATTAATCATCACTTAAAAAACTAATGTCTAATAAATGGTTAGTTGTAGTCCTAGTGGTAAAGCAGTTGGGATTTTCTGTGTTGAGTTTGCATGTTCTTCCCACTTTGCTCCCACAGTGTAAACATGCAGGTTAGGTCATTTGGAAAGTGTAATGTAAATGTTTTGTCTGTGTGTGTTAGTGGATGCGGGGATAGGCTCCAGCTGTGCAGTCTTGCACAGGACGAGCTGTAACATTCTGGATTTTCGTCATGTTTCCGGTTTTATTTTGTAGTGTTAACCTCTTGTGTCATTTCAGTTTCCTGTGTTTTCCCGCCTTCCATCAACCACACCTGTGCCCACTCACTCACCTGCCCCTGATTACCCTAGTACCATCCCTGTCTATATACTTACCCACCAGCTCCTCATGCCTTTGCCAGATTGTCTTTGTTTCCCTGTGACCTGACCTTCTTGGATTTACTGTGTGTTTTCTCAGAGATTTTTCAACTTTGCCTGTTTCTTTTTGAACTCGGAGACTTTGCCTTTTTCCTGTCTGTTTTTGTTAGCCCTTTTGGATACCTTGTTTGTATTTTGCTGAACATTAGTAAAGACAGTGATTTTTATTTGGAACCTCACTCAGTTTCCTGTGTATTTTCTCTGCACCTGAGTCCAAGCCTTACCAGAGTTGTTACACAAGCAGGTACAGATATTGGGCGGTTGGATTGCATTGGTTCTCTGTATCCGCTAATGGAAGAAGGCGAGTACTATCAGCAGTAAAGAAATGTGCTCTATCTGCAAAAGCAATATCACTAAGTGACTTCCCTAATTACATTGATTGAAGTGTCCCCGTACTAACAAGCACAGACCCCCTCACA